CCTGGGGTCCCCTAGTTCTCCCTCAGGTGCAGTGGCACCTCGAGGGGTGTCTGCTGCCTCTGCCTCTGGCCTCTTCTGATGAAGCCACTCCAGGCCTGCCTGTCACCAACTCTGCTGATCGGAAAACTGAATGGTTAATGGCCCATTGCCCCAAAGTCTCCTTTTGCTGTTCCCACCTTTCATTCCCCGCACTTCCTCCTTAAAGGGGATACTTCTGATACCCCCTTACCCGTTCCAAAAATTTCCATTTTTCAGGTTTTTTTTTGCGGGGGGGGACTTTGTTTTATGATTTGCTGGTGGGGATCGACAGCAGGGTTCCCCTTCCACCTGCTGTTAATCAGAGCTTTGCCAATGCAGTTCCCCAAAGTGCAGACCCAAGGGAGCCGAGTCTGAGTGTGCAGCTGGTTCCAGATCTCCTTCCCCTAGCTAGGAGGCAGTGGGGGTGCTGGGGGGACTGACTCCTGCTGCCAGGCAAGTTCCCAGGCACATAAATCTCCAACCCTGATCTCTGGGATTTCCTCTCCTGCACCATTGCATGTCTGGGGAGAGAGAAGGCGTGAAAACTTGGAAACTTGTAGGTTTGCCCCATCATTACTGCCCCATGGCTGTCAGAGACACTTTTTCCTTATCACATCTCCCACAGAGCATCCTTTTCACTCTGCTTCCTGCTGCTTTTCCCATATGTACCCTCATGGGTGCCAGGGACCTGTGCACAGCGAGAGGTACTGAAAGGTGACACAAACCATCTCTCTCTCTCTCTCTCTCTCTCTCTCTCTCTCTCTCTCTCTCTCTCTCTCTCTGTCTCTCTCCCCCCCCCCCATCTCTTTCCCTCATACATACCAGGTACGCCCTTCATCCCTGAGTGGCATCCCAGGGTCCTGTGGTCCTAGTTCTCTGGAGAGGAGAGGACAGCATCACTGGCTTCTTGGGACTCTAGAATCTGGATAGCAAACAGGACATACTCCAGCCAGGTCCCACCAGAGCTGCATATCCTCTGCCCCTGTGACTAGGGCCCTGCCCCTACTGTTGACCCGGGGCTTAGTGTGAAGGCCCTTCCCAGGTACACCTGGCCTGCCCTCCCCCCAACACACACACACACACACACACACACACACACACACACACTGTAGTATGGGCTAGCAGGACACCTTTTGCTAAAATGCTCCCCTTCCTTGGTAGGTGAGGGTGGGAGGCTTAGGAGCAGTGAGGTCTGTCCTATCTTGGACTTAGAGAAGAGTTGTGAGGAGGTGCAAGCCCAATGGTGATCTGGGGAGATGTGAGGAGAGAGACCATTACCTCCATGGAAGGCTAGAAATTCCATGTTATATTCTGTCACAAAGCAGTGGGGAAAGAAACGCACATTTGTGTGATTTATGTAAACGTCCAGTCCAGTAACTACAAAGCTCTCAGAATCCAGCACCCAACTTGGGAAGCTAAGAGTTGGCAACTGCACTCTGCTCCAAGAAAGCAACCGGCATCCCAGGGAGCCTCCCATACCCCTGGAGGGAACCCCTATCTTGATGGTATTTGTCATCCCCCAACTTTAAAAGTAGCTTTCACTACTTATATATGTATCTTTAAATAGCATGTTTTGAGCTTTATAGGGGGAAAAAGAGGGATTTGTAGCCTTTGGAGCTTTATTGAAATGCCACATATTGTCCTGAGAGATAAAAGGCAGCTCTGCGCCCTCATAGGGTGCATTTTCAGCAGCGCAGATAATTACTCTTCTCCCTGGTGGCGCCTTCCTCGAGTCAGGCGACTGCACTGGGGAGGGCTGCTCAGGTAGCCTGGAGGCCACAATCTCAGCATCCAGCCGCTGGGGCTCGGGATGAGACTGCGCCCCTGTCAGGGACAGTTGTCAGGGGCAACTAGGGAACGAACAGGACTCCGGTGACAGCCTGGGGGATGCAGAGCATTTTTGTTTTCCTGTTTACTGAGTGTCCAGTAAAGAAAAGCTGTTTACCAAACACCTCTGCAGGGCTCAGGGACTGACTGTGCGTGTATGTGCTTCAGAAGCCAAATTGAAACTGGATCGTCTCCTGTTCTTTCCTCCTCCAGAGTTTATTTTTTCCCAAAATAGGCAACACTCCTCCTCTCACCACATAGACACAACACACACACACACACACACACATGCACACACAAACACACACAAATAGGGGTCACTGGCACCGCCCAGGAGGGTAGCAGTAGCCTGGATGTTATTGCGGGGCGCTTTCTGTTTGTGTCTGAGAACCTCTGCTCCAGCAGGGAGCCCATCTTTGTGTTTTCCCACTCCCTCTGAATGGCCCCTGGTCCCCCAATTGCCACGTTGAGGGGCTGTAGCACTGGCCTCACCATGTGTATGCAGCAGACGTGAGCTATGGGTGAGGTGCAGCTTGGTTCCATGGCATGAGTAGCCCTTATCCAGGAGAGGAAGAAAGCAGGAGATGAAAGCATGCATGTTTGGAGTTGGCTTTCCTGGCAATGCATAGGGACCCTTGGGTGCCCAGGATGGAACTCGGGGCTTCACACTCCAGTTACTTCCAGGGTCCACAGTGGTCCCACAATCAGTGGTCTGAAGACCAAGTTCTCAGCCTGTGGGGCCTGGCCTGTGCCATAGCCACTTACCATCAATTGGTCAAAACAAAGTCATGTGTCCAGGATAAGTGGCCCTCAGGAAGGAGTCCCTGGGGTGTGGAGAGAATAAATATGAGTATTGGACATGCTGACAGCACCAGAATGATCAGGATTTTCCTAAGCAATGTCATCATTTTGACTTTGTGAAGGAATTTTACATGTAAAACAAATGTATTTTGGGGATGGAGCAATAATACAGCGGAAAGGGTGTTTACCTAGCATGTGGTCCACCCACGTTTGATCTCCGACATCCCATTTGGTTTCCCCCAAGCACCAACAGGAGTAATTCCTGAGTGAAGAGCCAAAAGGAACCCCTGAGCTTCACTGTGTGTGACCCAAAAAGGAAAAAAGTATATTGCCCCCTAAGTTGGCTTTGGGTATTTTGTTTGTGAAAGAAAGATTCTGAGACCTGAATCTGAGGCTGGTTCTTGGGCAAGGAGATGGCTGGCCTTTGCTCAGCCTGGGCCATGGGCAGCAGTGCTATTCGCAGAGATGGGCTTCTGGTCCTCAGAACCCACTGCCACCTTCCCACATCCCCTGTGGCGTTCCTTCTGCTCCCAGGCACGTCCCCTTCTTGTGGGGCACTCTTGCACTCCATTCACATGTTCTCTCACAAGGTTCAGAAAGACGTGCTCTATTAGCTCCATTGAGAGTCATGGGATCTGGGCCTCCGGGGTTATGACTTCCTTCATGGATCCTCCACAAATCCTACCTCCATGCTGGTCACACACTCGATGCCCACACATGCAGGAGTATCTGCAGCAGGGGGAAGCCCTCTGGGTCTCCACGTCTCTGTGGCTGGCTCTTTCTGCCAGGGTCACCTGCCACTTGCGGGTGACTGTTAGTCACAGCAGAGTGACCCGAATGAATGTGTTGAAGAGCACTCACCACAAAGTGTCATCAGATTGGAGCCGGAGAACTGAGACCCCCAGTGGACCTGCATTCTGTGTATTGCTCAGCCACTTTCAAAGACACGCAACCCCATGCCCCTCCCCCCCCCCCCCACACACCACCACATACACACCCAACAGCAAAGCAAATCTCCTCTTGGCTCTCTGCCCTCTGCCAGACTCCCCATGATGCCGGATCAGAGGCGCGTGCACAGTGGGTGCTCAGGAAAGTGTGCCTCACTGGTCTTCCTTTGAACTGCTAGCAGAAACATAGTCTGTGGTTCAGGGGCCTCTGTAGAGAACTGATTCCACACTGACCTCATTCCACAGTATGAGAGCCATACTGGGGGAGGAAGTGAATTCTTCACACATAGCCTGTACAGGATCAGGCCAGGACCTAGCTCTCTAACATCCCATCCACAAGACAGAGCTCGTGACGCGGGGCCCTCCTATGCTGAGCGCTGGGGTCAGGTGCTGCCTTTAATCCTACTTCATGCCCCAACCCTCTCCCCGACCACCCCAGCCCGCTGTGAGACTCATAATCTTTAAGATCTAATCTGAGTGTCAGTTGCTTATTCTACATCTTAAGAATTTGTAAGAATGTTCTCTCTGGTGGTCTTTCACTTGGTTTTCATTTGGGGGCCACACCTGCTGTTGCTTGGAAACTATTCCTGGTTTGATGCTAGGGGACCTTATAGTGTTTAGGGTCAAACTTGGGGCTCCCATGTGCAAAGCTTGAACTTCGACCCTTTGATCCCTCTCCTTGGGCCTGAATGGTGGTCTTTCACACCCCTCAGTGATATTCTTTTGTGCTTGTATTAGGAATCTAGTGAGAGAAAGAGTCCTAAGTTGGCAGGAAAATGGCTGGGTGTGACCATTGTCACTGATAAGAGCTGGTAAGAGGATAAGGATTTGAGACTTCTGATACTGGCTTCTAGATGCCATGGATGTTTCCAGCCTGCCCCAAGTTAGTGGAACAGCCACAGGCATTCTGTAACAGGGAGAGACTATCAGGCTGAGAGCACTCACCCTTCATGTGCTCGCAGGGTGCATGGGCGGGGCTCACCTGCTATGTCCCAGCTTACTCAATTCCCACTGTCACTGTTCCCTCCTAGGAAGTGATGGGAGAGCAGCTAAGGGGGCCAAGGCAGCTCTGATGGAGGAGCACAGCAGCGGGGAGCAGCTATACCTTGGGATCTAGAGGCGTATATCCCAGACTAATCGGCTTTTATTGCCAGTTACTGGATGAGTTTAACATTCGTTCCGGTGAGCCATCCAGGGCTCCTTACGAGTCATCCCCTGCATTGAGAAATAGCTTAAAGGGCATCACACTGTGATTCAGACCTGGAACAGAGACAAACCCCTCTGTTCTCAGACCTGAACAGCTGAGGGGTATGGACCCAAGAGCTGGGAAAGGGGTAAGGAAGCCACGTGGCCCCCAGGAGCCTGCCCGGCTGTGTTCTCACGGCCTGCGCCATCTTTCCTTTGCAGTGCAAGTTGGAGTTCCACGCTTGCTCGATGGGGAAAAACCTCGCCACCCTCTGCGATGGGCCCTGTCCGTGTCTCCCGGAGCCCGAGCCACCGAAACCTAAGGTGGAAAAGAATGGTGAGTGGGGAACACAGGGACACTGGTGGCGGCGGGAGGAGGGGATGAGACAGGGTTGCCAGGGTCCTGCTCTACCCCCCGTGGGCAGCTGACATCGCCCAGGGTGACTACTGGAGCCCAGACTGGGGACAAGGGGTCTTCCTTGGCAGGCTTTCTGGTTTGTCTGGAAAATCACACCAAACTGCCTTCAGTTCCCATGCTTCAGAACAGGAAGAACTGGGAGGCTTTGAAAATGATGCTTTGAGGCCGGACTGGCTCAAGATCCAATGGGCAGGCTTTTCAGCATCCAAAACCAGGGCCTGCTCTGGAGTTCATCTAGGTCTTCCTTGAACTTTAATATCAAAATTCTTTGAAAATGGCAAGACCATATTTCAGAATTGAGACTTCAGAGACGTCATCTGGGTATAGAGCAGCCCCCGTCCCCGCCCCCCAAAGCCTGCCTTCATGATTAGATTCTGCTTGGCATGCAGCGCCATGACACGCCGGATGAAAAGACAGCGTCTCCCCTGGGCTGCTGTGCCTGCGTGGCTGTTTTCCTGATGGCCACATGCATGTCCCCCCACTGGTGGAGTTTTTCTCTCTGAGACCCCAGATGGAAGTGTGCATTTGACAGGGCTGGGCTTCGCTTACGTGACCTGTGAGTCCATGGGATGCTTCACACTTCTCTGTGAAGGAGTGTGTGCGTGTGTGTGTGTGTGTGTGCGCGCGTGTGTGTGCGCATGTGTGTGCGCGTGTGTGTGCGCGCATATGTGAGCATGTGTCATTGTGTCTTCTCACGCCAGCAGCTATTTGTGTCCATACGCATCAGTCACACGCAGTCTTTTCCCGACAAAGAAAGTGAAGATGCCCGAGTCATTTGTTCATGGTAGCGAGACAATGAGGATATTGTCCTTCAGGCCCCCTTTGGGAGCACAATCCAGGATGTAGAAGGATATCATAAACCACAGAGCTCCGTGCTCACTAACGGCACCATTCCTGACACACTTTGCTTTGCTTTGCTTTGCTTTGCTTTGCATGGAGGGGCCCATGGTGCTAGTGTTCAGGGCTCTGGGCTGTGTGCAAGGCAAGTACCTCTACCCACTGTAATCTCTCTCCAGATCCATGCATCACTCCTGATGATCAAACACTGATCTCAGAGAATGTTGCCCGAGTTACTGATAAAACTGAAATATGAAATTAATATACAACAGCCTCAGGGACATGGGGAGAACATAAAGCCATGCAGTGTAAAGCTTCTCCCATGCCCAGAAAATTAATTTCTTTCTAGAAATGCCTTAAGAATCTTCCTGGGAAGTCTCCATAACCTTTGTCATTCTCGGCCTTTTATTTATTGCTCTTGTTTACCCAACTCTGCTGAATCTAGGAGAGTCAGCTAAGAAAACCATCACCGTCCTGGTCAGTGGGTGAATGAGGATCTCCTCGAGGGGTCCCGGTCTGCCAGACTCTCCTGACTCCCATGAGGAGGAAGCAGATGTGGACCTGTTTTCTTGGAGGATGCCATGATTCTCCACATGAAACAGAAACTCCTTTCTGCCCCTCCCCTCCTCTCCTTTCACTTTTTTGGTGGTGGTGGTGGGAGGCTCACATGGAGTTTCTCTGAGCTTAGTGGTCATTCCTGGCCGACCATATGCTTCCAGGGATTGAGACCTGGACCTCCTTCATGCCAGGCATCTGCTCAGTCCTTAGATCCATCTCCCCAGCCCACAACCCTCTTTTCTTAATGGTGGGCAGCCACATCTGCTGAAATAAAGTTCATCCTCAAACAGGGCACTCCTAATGCGACCTTGACCATACCATCTATTTGTTCGCTTATTTACTGGCAACGTTGGGACACATTCTTGCTGGAGTGCAGGCAAGTAATAACATTGCCATTAAAGTAGGGACTCAGAAGGAAAAAAAAGTGTTGTTTCTGAATGCTGAGAGGCTGGTGAAAGCAAGATTACCATTTCAAAGGATTTCATTTCAAAATACATGTGATAGTATAGACTTCTAAGTTAATAGTGAGAGCTGTATCAGAAAGGACTTCAGCCTTATCAGAAATAAGAATAATCAAAAAATAAACCAGAAAATTTCCCAAACATCCAAATCCCTCAGTTTCTCAGGGCTGTATAATTGCTCTTTTTCCTTCACTCCCTCTTTTATTCTAGTGTTATCTATACCCATTGATGCCTGGGGGATACTGGAGGCTGGCTGCTGGGGTGGGTGCAGGACCATGAAGTGCCAGGGGTCAGACCTGATTGTTGGACATGCAGTGTGTGTGCAAAGCTGTTGGATAACATTGGGTTGTCCTTGCTCCTCCCACAGGGAGCTTAGGTTTATTGAGCCACTCCCACAACAGTGCCCCTGAGGCATACCCAATTCCATCAGGCACTAATAATCCTATATTGCTTTTCTCTTTTCTTTATGCATTTGCATGGCTTGTTTAGCAATGTCCTTTTTTTTTTTTGTATAGACACAAGAAGATAGTTCATGCTATGTTTTGTAACATGGAAATTAATTGACTCTAAAATAAGATTTACTCCTGGGCATCCATATTTACTTGACTTGAGCCTTGGTTGCGCTTTGTTCCTAGCACTCCAAAAGCAGGGTCCTGACAAAGGACTGGTTAGACACAGGGCAAGCTGTGAGCTACCCTGGCACAGAAATGGGACAAGCCAAGTGCCATAATACTTAACTGTATGTTACAAGCACGGTCATCGGCAAACTCTGTCATGACCCAAAAAGAAGTAACCGAATAAGGAGGGACTACCAGATTTTTTTCCTAGAGGCTGCCCATCAGTGGCAGGACCAGATGGCTGAAGTTCATTTATCACTGCGTCCAGCCATACCCTCATGGAGGAGAGTGTAATCCCCTATTAGAGTAAAAGGCTGAACTATTTAATGCGGATTTATCAGTGTTTCTCTGGAGGATAAGGACTTAACATGGACAGTTGAGGGTATTGACAAATCTCTGGGGTCATTATGCGAAATGAAACATTTAAACTAATAACATTTTAGCTGGACAAAAATCAATCTAGTGAAGGCTGACCTTTCCCTTTGATCTGGCTGTTCTCTGCACACAGGGGTGCTGACCTGAGGTGCTGGCCCCTGGGGTCTGGAGGAGGGGGTATCTGCAGAGAGAGGTCAGAGGTGCAATGGGGCATCTGTCTGTGAGATGGAGTGGGAAGGAGTTAGCTGTGTGCCCACCCTCCTTTCTGTGCCAGCCTCCCTCCGGGAAACTGCTGAGACCCCCTGCCTGGTTGAAACTCTCCCTTAGAAGGCTCTGGGAGTGGAATCAGGATCCTCATTTTTGGTTCCCTAGGAAGATGATGTTCTGGAGGTTTCCCAAGTACAGCCAAGTCAGGAATGGAACATCACTATGGTTGTGGGGGATGATGGTGTTTTATTTTCAATCCCCCGAACACTGTTTCCTCCTGGACTAGAGAGCATAAATCTGTTCTCCCCCTGATCCCTGGGAATCTATTCTGTCTGCTCTGCTCAGGGCTGTCTCTGTACTCTAGGGAGTGGGGTGACAGTCTCTGCCACCCCCCTGGAGCAGCCTCCCAGCTTGCACTCCGTGGCCAGCATATTCTTCCTCTTCACGTAGGTTGTGGTGGGGCCCCTGTGTGTCCACTGTCCCCCCCGCCCCGCCCCTATGCTGAGTTCTCTTTCGATGTCTAATTCCTCTGGGGGAGCTGCCTCCATGTTCCCCTACATGGAGACACCTCCCTGGCTCCTCCTTTGATGATGTGGAAGGAGCACGGGATGGAGAGGTGGGGAGACCTGTGGTCAGCTGCACCGCCCTCCCCGCAACCCCAGGCACTCACTGTCCCCCTTCCTGTTGCTGTCCTGACTCTGCCCAGCACTATCCGGGAGCACCAGGCCCCAGCTCGTCTCCTGGACCCTTGGGAATCCACAAGTCTCTTGACTCGCCATAAGTTTCCAGAACATTCAGGGAAAGTCAGGGTTTATTTTTGTTATTGTTGTTGTTGTTGTTTTTTAGTTTTTGCCACTCCTTCTTTTTTGATGTGGTCTTTAAAGGGATGGTAGAGGGAAAGAGCACCTCCTTTACCATCTTTGCATATTTCCAAATTCTCAGCCCTTCTAAATGACCCCAGGACCGTGAAGGACCTCCTTCCAGGGTTTCTCTCTCAGTCAGTGCAGCCTCAGGAGTATAAGGATGGTCTCACAAACACAGTGACCTGAGGGAAGAGATATCCGAAAGGGAGATGAAGCGTCAGTGTGCTTCAACCTGCCTATATACTTTCCCATGTCCTCCAGGAGGGCCCCCCTCCTGCCATGTTCCCTTGGTATTTTTCAGTTCCCCCACAGCCAACACAGCCTGAATCTTCCACCACCCCAGGAGCTGCTCCTACTTTGCTTCTGCACATATATACAGAATATGAGAGAATACGAGAGGGGGTGTTGATGTCTTTCTAGTGGGTGAAAATCTAAGGGTGACACAGAGGTCCAGACCCACAAGCTGGTTGTCTTTCCGATACCTTTTTATTGGTTTCTTCCTTTTCAGTCCAGCCAGCGCTTCTTCTTCACATGGCCCTGGGCCTGCCGTGGCTCTGTCCCTCAGTAGCAACTAGGGAAGGCAGATGGTGAAAAGAAAGAGGGGGATAAACCGAGGCAGAGAGTGGCTGCCATCACAGCTGGAGCCCAGAGCAGGGGCAGAGGTTTACGCTGGAAATGAGTGACTTTGGTACTTACCAGAACAATTCTCACACACCTGGTATTACCCCCTGCTTTTGTATAGTAAAATCCAACTGTTTGAACAGAAGATTTTATTCATCCAAACTTAGTGTCTTGGTCCCTGCCTGTTTCCTGGATCTCAGTCTGTTTTCGTGTCAGGGCCTACATGCTTGTGTGCTTGTCAGTCTCTCTCCTCCCCTCCCTCCCCCGCGCCCCTTGCTCGAACGCTCCCCAGGACCCCAGAGTGATGCCTAATGACTGCTTAGCTTTTCCACTTGCATCCCCACATCAAACTGAACGTGTCCAAAATCAATCTCTTCATC